ATATCGTCGTTATTATATATCCCCCCCCCCGTATTACAGTCTGGAAAGGTCACCTGTTGCAGAATCGATTATGTAGTATCTCGGCAGAAGGTAAATGAGCGCTGGAAACGACTGCCTGTCCCTATTCGAGCTCGAGAACGGAACACTGGAGGAATCAGCTGCACTGGACGTGGAAGCGTGAAGAATGAATGTGTACTTCATCCTACAGACCTCTTCGGATTTGGTATCCTCTAATATCAAACAAGATAAACCTTATATTGTTGACGTTGATCGAGGAAGCAAATTAATGACTTTTGCTTTTGGATATCAACACTCTGGTGTAATTTCCACCTTGCTGAGGTCACTTGGGGTGTACAAAGCTCAGCAAAGTCTCTAGATTGGTGTTGGTCTAGCTGACCTATAAACAGTACAGCACTTTCATTTGCAACTTTTCATTTGCGTCTTGGATGAGATCCTGAGAATATTTCGTGCAGTGAAAAGAATGCAGGAATGCTACGTGTGAAGGCGGCAGCGAAGCGGCAACCTTCTATAGGGCTTCATAAATATTGCACCACGTATTTTACCATCTACCTTTCTCTCGGAATGTCTCTTAATTCTAATACCTACGCGCAATCCTTATTCAAATATTGACTTTTATACTCAATGGCATTCTTTCTGAAATTCCTTATTTGGCCGTGATTTCCGTGTTGTAGTTGCACTCTTGGGATATGGTGCTATTGCAGCTTTAATCTCCTGCTCACTGGTCTGCTGTTTTACCCTTTCAGGTTTTGGTTTAATCAACTTTGGCTAACTCAAAATAATCCATTCAGCATCTTCAAGTTTGAGATTGCATCCTAGTCCAGGCAGGAAGTACAGCTTCAAGCTCACTGGGAACAAGAACTTCCTGAAATACCTTATCGACTGTGGTGAAGGTCGTTTATTCGAAAATTCCAGTAGTGAGAGACGTGAGCAATCTGTGAATGAAGCTAAGCACGAAGAAACTGGACATAAACTATTGCTTGGATTGTAAATTTCTGTATTCCATAGAGAAGATTCAGAAGAATTTCACTCGAGCACTCTGGGATTCAACGATTTCAACTTTGCATCGCTGTGGGAACATTCAGACGGTGACCACTTTTTGAGTGCTGATCTTGGTCGGCCATGCTTCCTTTTCCGCTGTTCACCTGTGCTTTGGTTGTGGTGTGCAGGTTATAAGAAATCATGTGCAGTTCTTGTGTGACCACTATCTGACACCATGATTACCGAATTTAACGATTATAACTTCGTAGTATACAAGAACTTCCGTTTCCTCCCTAATTTCGGCAGACTCGTTTTTATATTTCTTTTTAGAATCTAAGGAAAAGTGTAAAAAGCGGACGACAGCAGCGAAGATGAACGTACATATGTCTGTCCTTTTTCGATGCATATGCAAAGATTCATGTTCAATGAACGAGCGATGTTTTTTGACATGGTTCAAGCTTAGGCTATGTGAGCATGCAGCTGCTGTTGAGATTTGAGCTTCCCAGCCATGAACTGGAAGCCGAACAATACCCTTGAAAATGGCAAGCGAATTCAGAAGTTTAGTGAAGGAATGGCATTTCAGTTCTTAGAAGCGCCAAAATTGGCCAGAAATGGTGCGCAAATTTTTTAATTATCAGTTAATATGCAATTATGCAACTTCGGAATGTTTTCAGGTAAAAATGGACACAGTCTTCATGGAGGGGTTTGTATAAACCATACGGTTCGGAATACAGATGAATTTCTTTCTCATAATTCAATCTCTACAGGAAGCTGTTTTTGTTTCCGAACGTTTGCTACGTTATCACATCGAGCATGCACGAAGAGAATGCCTTGACTACAAAAATGGCTTTTGGCTCTTCTGCGAAATTTGGAAGAGGTTCCGACTTGTACGGTCCTCCGACATTCTTAGCAGAGAAACGACTTTTTTGTGTTTTCCTCTCATTGGAATAAAAGTCGAAGTGCTGCTCAAAATCGGCCGGGATCTGACGAATATACTGTGAAGCTTCAATACAAAGACGGCCGGACTTCCGCGCGGGAAAATGGCTTGGACAAAATGTGAAAATTCCGCTGAGTGACGAGTATTTACCAGCGATACGGGGATTTCCGACTTCTTAGAGATAATTCTGT